CAGCCAACTTCATTCAGTTTTGAAAGCCAGATGGGAAACACCCGGGAACATTTGATAGCCTTGGGAACTTCCAAATTAATGGGAAAGCGGACAATAGTGCTTTCAGAGACTTAATTATGGGAAAAGAAATTGAGAAAAATGTGCAGGAGATGAGCAGAAACTCGGCTCCCAATCCAGATGGGATAACTCTAAGAGGCATCAAGAAGATGGATCCAGAGTACTCCCGGATTCCTGGAGATCTTCAGCTTATGGTTAACATCAGGAAATATCCCGGACATGGTGAGGGGTTGCAGGACTGTTTTGATTCCTAAGTCAAGCAAACCAGAGCCCCTAAAGGACATTAACAACTGGACACCCATCCCAACCAGTTCCATCTTGCTAAGACTGTTCTCCAGGATTTTAACAGCCAAAGTGACCAAGGCTTGCCCCCTCAACCCAAGGCAAAGAGGCTTTATAAGAGCACTGGGATGCTCTGAAAACCTGAAACTCCTGCAAGCCATCATTTAGTCAGCAAAAGGAGAACACAAACCACTGGCTGTTGTATTTGTGGACATTGCCAAGGCTTTTGACACCATAAGCCAGCAGCACATTCTACATGCCCTAGAGCAAAGGGAGGTAGATCCCCACATCATCAATTTCATGAGCAATATGTATGAAAACATCTGTACAAATATCAAAACGAAGGGAGCTCAAACAGACCACATCCAGGTCCATGTGGGAGTTAAGCAGGGTGATCCTATGGCACTATTTTAATTTAATCTGGCCATGGATCCCCTATTGAGTGAGCTGGAAGAGGCCGGCAAAGGACAGCACCAAGGAATGAGCAGTGTCATGGTGATGGCATTTGTGGCTGATCTGGTGTCATTGAGCAATTCCTGGGAAAACATGAAGAGAAACATCAAGACATTAGAGACCTTCTGCAATCTCACTGGTCTCAAGACACAAGGGGAGAAGTGCCACAGCTTCTACATCAAGCTGACAAAAGACTCCTACACTGTCAATGACTATAGTTCCACAGTCGTCTCTCTCGTTGGACATGTCCTGTCCCTTTTTTAGTTCCCCTGGCTCACCTGTCAGTCACAGCAGACAGGCGACTGTGGGCCCCAAACGTGGTTCTCTCACTAGTACGATCAGCTCCAGGGGCTCGTTGACTGCCACCAGTCAGGCCGGTTCTTCCCTTTCACGGAGGTAACAATTATCAGAGTTGAAGAGAGAGAGATGGGTATTGTGGCTTTAATCACCCTCTGGGGCTTTGTGCTGAGGCCCTGAACATCAGTCCCTGAGAGAGGGCTGAAGAAACCTCTCCAGAAGTCCAAGTCAGAATCACACTCCAAAGTTTCTTTGACTTTTAATGGGTCCCACTGAGGGACAGGACAGAGAAAGTGTCCCCAGGCCCCAGGCAGAGCAGAGAACTGGAGGCACTGATGACAGCTGGGGACAAAGAGAAGCCAAGTCTTGATGCTCTGGGGCACAGCAGCCTCTGTGCCACCAAGGGCTGTGAGGAGACACCTTGTCCTGAGGCCCTGGGGCCTCCTGGCACAGCCCCAGCCAGGCTGGGCACTGTCACCCCCTTGTCCTGCTCTTAGCATGCCCCCCATCTCACATCCCAGTGGCCTCAAGGATCTGCTGGAAGGAGTCCCTGGGGAGCCTTGGTCAGGAATGGCCCTGGGGGCTCCTCAATGCTCCCAGGGAATGCAGGTTTTTCAAAGGATTTTGGGTTTTGCTTTTGCCTTGGAGACTCTGAGAGGTTTTTGCAACCACAGCCTCCAACTATCTGCTGTAATTAGTCCCTTGAGATTGTTTGTCAGTAACAACACTCAGTGGGGATCATGAATGCTTCAAGGTACTTCAGTTATTTTAAGGTACTTGGTGTTCCACTTTTGATACAGACACAGTGAGAGGTTTGTGCAATCATGGCCCCAGTTATCTGCTTTAAGGAGAGCTTTGCATTGACACTCAGTGGGGCTCATTAATCCTTTGAGATACTCAAGGTCTTTCAGGTACTTTGGCTTTTCCTTCCCACAGAGTCTCTGAGAGGTTTTTGTGCCATCCTGGCCTCCAATTCTCTCCTCCAAGGAGTCCATGAGGAGCCTGTATTGGGGATGGACCTCAGTGGGACCCATTAATGCCTTGAGACACTTTGGGTTTTTCCCTCTGACTTTGACTCCTGGAAAGGTTTGTGCAATCTCCTCTCAGGCCATGAGGTCCAAGGGCTCAGCTGCAAATGCACCACAGGGCTCATTAGGATCAAGCAAGTCCTGACAAACCATGGCTGTGCCTTGATCTCCCTCTGCTTTAGTGCCGTTCATGAAGAAGGTTTCCTACAATATTTCTGGAGAGATATTTCAAAGAGCTTCTAGGAAATATGTGTTCCTGTTTGAAAGGGTGTCTTTTATTGTGGTTCTTACACAAGAGGGGATTACAGCATTCAGTGACTGCTGTTGATCCTGGGACTGTCCTGAGGAGGTCTGGCCTGTTCAGAGAAGCTGTGCCTGGAGGTCTGAGCCAGCATGGACACCCTTGCTCCACATGCCCCAAGGCCATCCTGTCTCTCCTCAGCCACCTGGCACCTGCTTTGCTTGGAGAACTGGCTGCACTCAGGCAAAGAGGGGCTTTCCTTCTTTTAGTTTGGAAGCAAACTAAACTCCTGAGTTTCCCCATTGGAAACAGACACCCTCCTCAAGTGTGTGCCAAGCCCAAGCAGCCCCCAAGACCACTGCAGACCTGCCCTGGGCCAGCTGTGAGGGTGGATCATCATGCCAAGCTGCACTGGGCCATTGCAAGGGACTGTTGCCATGGACACTGCAGTGACCCCACTGCTGGGTTTGGGTGCCAAGGCAACACCCATCAGTTCAGGTTTCCTTGGAATCCACCCCAAGGAGCCATTTCTGCAGCCAGGTTCCATGGCCACGTGCATGCAGAGCTGTTGCTGCCCTCGGCTGCCATGGCAGCCCTCAGGACAAAGCGGTGCCGGGGCTGTTCCAGGCAGAATTGCAGTGACACTCGTTGGTGCCACGAGGTGCCATGGCAACGGCCACAGGGACCCGTTCCTTAGTTTGGTGCCACGGCAACCAAGGCCTGGACCCGTTGGGATGGTTGTTTGCCATGGAAACCTGTCCTGGGCCCATTGCTCAGGGCTGCTGTCACTGCCCAGAGCCAGAGGGGATCCCTTGCTGGGGCTTGTGCCATGGCCACCTGCCCTGTGCCACGCTGGCCGCTCAGGCACCAGGAACCAGCAGCAAAGGGCACTGCCAGGGCCAAAGGCCAGGCCAGCCAGACAGAAAGGGGCAGCGCTGGGCACTGTTTCCATGGCAGCCCTCACTGGGGGTGACACCTGGGTCACCTGTCTTGGCAGCTGCCATGGAAAGCCCTGGCAGGGACCGAGGGCACAGACACTGGCACTGAGACACGGCTGGGACGGGTGCTGAGCACAGGGCTGAGCACGCAGAGATGGTTTTGTTCTTGCTCAGCTCACACTGAGCCAAGGCCTGTCCTGCCCCTCTGGGCCACACTGGGGAGGGGCTGGGGCTGCGGGGGAGGCTGGCAGGGGACACAGCCTGGACAGCTGACCCCAACTGACCCCGGGGATATCCCAGACCACAGAACATCATGCTCAGTGTAGAAAGGGCGGCAGGGGGAACAAGGACAAAGGGGGGACATTTGGAGTGAGGGTTTCTGTCTTCCCAGGTAACTCTTGGGCAGGATGGGGCCCTGTTTTGCTGATGGGCAAGCTCAGTACCAAAACCACAGACACCAACCTAGAGGAATTGTGTCATTTATATAATGCAAAACTGCCAAGAATGTAAAAAATATAAGCTCTGGGAAGCACATAGTCATTAGCAAAGAATTACAAAGAAGCTCAGCAATGCACGAAACCATCACTACCAAAGATTGCCTGCAGTATCAAGAAAGATCCAGCACCAGTTACCCTCAGACTTTACCATCAGCCAGATCCACACAGCAGCTGGGGGAAGCTTTCACAGCCAAGGGCTGCAGAGCAACTCCTGGACACTGGGAATTCCTGCAGGTGCCTCCAGCCACAGGTGAGGCTCCAGCCTGGCTGTGACAGGAGCCAGCTCTGATAGTGCTGAATGAATAGACAGCACTTCTAGTGTGGGAACACATGGTTTCATCCTCCTCTTGTGCTCCTCCCAAAGCCTGGCCAGGGCTCAAGGAGGAACCAAGGGAGTTGACTTTGATCCTACAGCCCCAAGCAAAGCTAGATGGGGTTTTGTCCTGCTTCTAAATACAGAAAGGTAAATCCATGTTTCACTGATGAACACATAGAGAGATCCTATTGCTAATAATGCATCATGAAGGAGCAGGTACAAATAGAACATTTGGTTAGAAGGTTGTTTTAGGTTACAAGATGTAGCTGGGGTGTGTGTCATCAATTCACATCTATTAGAGGTGAGGCAGTTATCTTCTGTAAATTGAGCAGTTGTCTTTATCTCTTCCACAAGCAATCTTCCCTCTGGGTAAGATCTTCTGTTAATGGGCCATTGAGTGTCACTGCATGACTGATAAAAATGACATCATCCCATTGTGAGATGCTCTGCCCAGGGGAGCTTTTCCCCACTGGATTCTTAAAGAAGCAGCTTTCTCCTCTAGAGAATTCCCAGAGAAAGACCAGGCCAAACAACACCACCACTACACTTCAGAGGAAAACTCCACACTTCTACAGGATCCCTGCTCCAACAGAACCTCACCAGTCACTGCAGGAGCTCTGCAGCCAACATTTAACAGGACTGCTAGCAGCACCCTGACCCACAGGGTGTCAGGTCGTATTCTGACTCGGTGAATGGGATTTCTTTTGAACAACTGCATTTGTATTTTTAAAATTATCTGAATCAGGAACTCTTACTGCTATTCCCATATCTTTCCCTGAGACCTCCTTAATTTCACATTTATAACTATTCAGAGGCAGGGGGTTTGCATTTTCCATTTCAAGAGAGGCTCCTGCCTTCCTTAGCAGACACCTGTCTTTTCAAACTGAGACAATGCCCCAGGACACCCAGGCAGGTGAGGAGCAAGTCCGTGGCCCTTTCCCCCTCTCTCCTGCTCCATCTCCCAGCCCAGCATGGCCCCCAGCTGCAGGACAACCCCACTGCCGACCCCATCCTGTCGTGGATCCATTGGGGGGATCTCCTTCCCCTTCCCTGTGGCACAGAGGCAAATCCCATCCTGTCCTTGTCCTTCCTCCCCCAGGCAAGGAGCTGAGGATGGAGACCAGGGAGGACAAATCCCCACAGCAGAACCTCGTGGAAGAGGCTGTTTTGAGTGGCTCCACGGCACAAGAATCCAAGAGGGTGGAAAAGCACTGGAGATCTCACATGAGGAGGCACTCCAAGGCCAGCCCAGGGTGCTCTGAAGAGGAAAGACCCACCCTGTGCCAGGAAGCTGGACCGAGCTTTAGCCAGGGCTCAGAGCTGGTGGTGCATGAGCAGCCTCACGATAAGAAGAAGCCCTACAAGTGCTCGGAGTGTGGGAAGAGCTTCAGGCAGAGCAATCACCTGCTCCGCCACCAGATGATCCACACTGGGGAATGGCCCTACAAGTGTGGGCAATGTGGGAAGGGCTTCAGCTGCAGCTCCGACCTGATTGTGCACCAAAGGATCCACACCGGGGAGAGACCCTATGAGTGTTCTGAGTGTCACAAGAAGTTTCGGATAAGCTTCCATCTCCTTCTGCATGAGCGCATTCACACAGAGGAGAGGCCGTTCCGCTGCCCTGACTGCGGGAAGGGCTTCAAGCAAAATTCCCACCTCGTCACCCACTGGCGCACACACACCGGGGAGAGGCCCTACGAGTGTCCCCAGTGTGGGAAGAGGTTTCAGACCAGCTCCCATCTCCTTCTGCATGAGCGCATTCACACAGAGGAGAGGCCGTTCCGCTGCCCTGACTGCGGGAAGGGCTTCAAGCAAAATTCCCACCTCGTCACCCACTGGCGCACACACACCGGGGAGAGGCCCTACGAGTGTCCCCAGTGTGGAATGAGCTTCACCCAGAGATCTGCCTTGACCAAACACCAACGGAAGCACCAGTAAGGGAAGCGCTGCAAATGCCCCAACTGCAGGAAAAGCTTTGTGCACTGCTCCAGCTTCATCCCCCACTGGAGGACCCACACTGGGAAGAGCCCTGGTGATCCATGTTCTGTCTGTACCATGCTGGGAAGACACCTGTCCCTTTTCCTGCCCCAGCCAGTGACATGACGTGGGTCCAAGGACATGAGGGTCTGCCCATGGCCGTGTCATTACATTCACTCCCACCTCAGGTCATCGCCAAGGGCAGAAAAGGGAGTTTCTCTCTCCCCCGTGAAGAAGGGTGTCCTTTCCAGACAGGAGGAAATAGGTGGCTGGGAAGAGACACTTGGTGGTGTTGTTGTTTGCCCTGTAAATTGTTATCGTTATCCATTCTCTGTTCACTTATGTTGCTGTTCCTGTTTGTTCCTTACCTGGTTGCTGTTCCCATTAAATTGTTCTTATCCCAGCCTGGGATCTTTGCCTTTTGTGCTTTCCATGGGAGGTGGGAGGGCAGTGAGAGGCAGCATGGTTTTAGCAGGAGCAGGAAATTGAGGAATCCCATTCCTAATCCCTGGCCCATGGAGACCGAGCATCCCAACAGGTCCCAGCCCTGGCTGCCATGGCAACAGCCTAGGGAGCCAGTCCCTGGCTGGGGCTGTGGGAACCTCTTCCCTCTGGTGCCCAGGGACAGGACTGGAGGGAACGGCTGCAGCTGAGTCAGGGCAGGCTCAGGTTGGATCTCAGGAAAAGGTTTTTCCCCAGAGGCTGCTGGGGCACTGCCCAGGCTCCCCAGGGAAGGGCCCCAGCTCCAGGGCTCTCTGAGCTCCAGCAGTGTTTGGACAGCGCTGCCAGGCCCAGGCTGGCATTGTTGGGGTGTCCTGTGCAGGGCCAGCCATTGGACTCAAGGATCCTGGTGGGTCCCTCCCAGCTCAGCCCATTCTCTGCTCTGGGATCCCATGACCCTGGGAATGGGACTGCCAATGTTTGCCATGGCAACAGACTCTGTCATCAGGCCAGTGCTGTTTCCATGGCTTCCAGGCGGGCATGGGGTCTCCATGGAGCTGCCAGGGGACTGACCATAGCAACAGAGATCTGGTTGGGGATGGTTGCCATAGAAACTGGCCAGAGCTATGGGGCCTGGGGATGGTTGCGTGCTTAGGATCACTTTTGTTACAGGCCCTCAGCGGGGTTCCATGGGGACATTCCAAGGTTCTCCAGGCTGTTCAAGAGCTGCGATGTCACACACAGGAACAGCAGCTCTATGGAGACCTTCCAGGGCTTTCTGGGCATGGAAAAATGCCCCGTGCTCAGAGGCACTCACAGCCATTCCATGGTGACATCCCAGGGCACCTTGGGCTGCTCAGGCACCAATCTGTCTGTCACCGGCTGAGAAGGAAGTGAGTTTTTCAGGAAGATGTGGTCAAACCCAATCAGTGGTGAGGATGGAATGTTGGCACCGGGTGTGGCCACTGAAGACATGGATACGCCTCTGAGAGCACAGGGGGTTAAAAAGCAGAGATGTCCCAGGGGAACTCTCTCTTGGTTCTGGTCTGTGAAAAAGCGCAGACCTTCCCCTGCCCAGCCTGGGTGGTGGAGGGGAAGCCATGTGGCCGGGGTGAGGTAGGCTGGAGCCTTGGACAGAGGAGGGGGGTGAAGGCCTTGCAGGATGGAAGGGTGGAGGAGCCCTGGGAAGCATTTGGGCAGCCCCCCCCGGGAGTGAGAGAGAGAGCCTGTGCCTGCGCTGCCTTGAAATTCGACATCTTGTGCTGGTGGCACGGCCGGCCGAGAAGGAGAAGCAAAGGGTGTGGGGCGAGAAGGTGCCCGGCAGCCGTGGGAGTCCTGGGCAGGCAGAGCCCAAGATTTGAACCCTTTCCTGGGATAATGGAAACCTTGCAAATACTGATCCTCCTGGATCTGGATGAGAAGAGAGAGAGAGATGAAACAGCAGGAAATGAGCAAGTGTGGTGAAAGTTTGTGCAAGTAGAAGATGTCAGAAAGAGTTGAGAAGACTCCTAGGTAGGAGGAGATGAGGGAGTGGCCTTGGGCTGGACTCTTTTCTTGTGTAGCCATGGACAGACCCATTTTTCCTGTGACACAGAGACTGCATTTAAGGGGAGGCAATGGCTTGGAGCCAAGAGAGTGAGGTGATGTCATGTGAAGCAGTGGCATGAACAGAGACGGCTGAGGAGGGTGTGGTGATGCTCTCTGTCTTCAGTGAAGAAGAAGATCTCTGCTCTTGAGACCCCTCGGCCCCAGGAGGTGAATCTGGGGGGCACTGGTGTCCCAAAAGTGAGAGACTGTTGCTTTGTTGGAAGTGGGCAAAGCATCCTTAAAAAGGGAAGCCTAGAAGCAGTTCTGGTCCATGAAGAGTGGTGAGAGCACTGGACATGGGAGGAAGAAGTCACGAGGGCAAATGTTCTCCGGGCGGTGCCATGAGTGACATGGAAACACCAGAAGTTTGAACTGTGTTTCCAGGGGAAGCCTATGGTACAAGAGGGACTCCTCTCTCCTTGATGAACTGAAAGTTGATTACCTGAGGGGTGATGATGGACTAAGAATTAATTATCTGAGGGTGGTGACTGGATTGAAAATCTAAGCTCTTATTTCATGTTGTGGTAGAAACTGGGGGAAGGAGGAGGAATGGTTTAGAAGGTTTTCATTCTGAGTTCTGTGTCTCTTCCTTTTTATATATTGTACTTAATAAAGTGGGTGTTTTTTTCACTTTATTCTTAAGTTACAGACTGTTTTGCTTTATTCCTGGTCACGTCTCACAGCAGCTACTAGGGAGAATATATTTTCATGGGGGCACTGGCATTGCCCCAGCATCAAACCATGACACTGTCACAGGCACTCACGGGGGCTCCAGGGTGACATCCCAGGAGTCCCCAGGCTGCCAAAGAGCAGGGGTGTCACCGACGCTCACAGGGGATCCTGTCATGGGCAGAGGGGGAGTTTCAGGCAAAAGCTTTATTTCTTTATTAGAGAAACTCCTGCTGAGACATGAGGTGCAGAAATGACACCCAGCTGAGAAATGCTCCTTGGGCCTCGGCCTTGGCCAACAGCCCCTGGGCTCAGCTCCTCTGCAGCTCAGCACAAACACTGTCTGCCCCAGGCACTGCTGCTGCCCAACCAGCTCCTGGTTACTTCAGGAGCAGCCCTGGGAGCTGTTTCTGTTCCCTCAGTGGCACAACATCCCTGTTCTCACGCTGCCAAAGAAACCTCTTGATGCCAAGTGCAGCCAGGATGAACCATTGCTGGGAATGAAGCCCCTCTCGTGGGGCCCTACAAACAGCACTCCAAAAGGAGCCCCTTGGAGCTCTCCTGGGCCAGCGACTCCCTCTGAGTGGGGCCTCTCCCAGCCGGGAACTCTCCCGTTTGCTTCACTCGGGGGATCCCCGAACAACGACGGGGCCTGGGCCGATCCCCCCACTCCTCCAGGCTCAGCCCTTTGCCCGCTGGGGAGAGGCCAAAGCAACACAGGGAGCACTTCCCTGCCCTCAGGGGAATTTCTCACAGGTGCCTTGCACTGACTCTTGGTGTCTGTGTGTGCACACACCAGTGCCTGTGCTTGGGTACCTGTGGCAGAAATGCTGCTCTCTGAGGGCTTTGAGTGCCTTGGCTATCTGAGTCAGTCAGGCCTGTAAGTAAGGTTAAGTCACAAGTTGTAAGCTAAGTTAAATGCTGCTAAGAGTTGTTCTCTCCCTAAATGGTTAAGATGAATATATGTCATAAGCTAAGTTGAATATTGTTAAGTGTTACTCCACTGCTAAAGCATTATGGTTCTCAGATTGCAAGGCAAGATGTATTCTATTTGCCATGTGTTAAGAGGTGTGGCAGTTATCTTTTGTTAATTGGGCAGTTTTTCTTTATCTCTTGCACAAGCAATCCTCCCTCCAGGGAGATAGCTGCTGATAATAGGCTATTGAATGTCACTGCAGTGACTGATAAGAAATAGAGCAACCCATTGTGAGATGCTCCGCCCAGAGGGAGGAACCAAGCATTCCCAACTGGATATAATCTGAGATCCTGGGGCAGCACCACAGCTTCCCCACTGGATTTCTCCGAGGAACAGCTGCCTCTTCCACTGGATCTTCAGAGGAAGGCTGCACTCTTCTACAGGCTCACTGCTCCAACAGAACCTCACCTGACACTCCTCCAAGAGGACTGCAGCCACACTTCCAATTGGACTGCCACCAGCACTGTGACCAAAAGGGTGTCAGGTCGTATTCTGACTCGGTAAGTGTTGTTTTGCTTTACTGCATTGCTTATTTTATCACTTTATTCCCTAACAGAGAACTGTTATTCCTGCTACCATATTTTTGCCTGAGAGCCCCCCTTAATTTAAAATTTATAACAATTCAGAGGGAGGGGGTTTGCATTTTCCATTTCAAGAGAGGCTCCTGCCTTCCTTAGCAGACACCTGTCTTTTCAAACTGAGACAATGCCCCAGGACACCCAGGCAGGTGAGGAGCAAGTCCGTGGCCCTTTCCCCCTCTCTCCTGCTCCATCTCCCAGCCCAGCATGGCCCCCAGCTGCAGGACAACCCCACTGCCGACCCCATCCTGTCGTGGATCCATTGGGGGGATCTCCTTCCCCTTCCCTGTGGCACAGAGGCAAATCCCATCCTGTCCTTGTCCTTCCTCCCCCAGGCAAGGAGCTGAGGATGGAGACCAGGGAGGACAAATCCCCACAGCAGAACCTCGTGGAAGAGGCTGTTTTGAGTGGCTCCACGGCACAAGAATCCAAGAGGGTGGAAAAGCACTGGAGATCTCACATGAGGAGGCGCTCCAAGGCCAGCCCAGGGTGCTCTGAAGAGGAAAGACCCACCCTGTGCCAGGAAGCTGGACCGAGCTTTAGCCAGGGCTCAGAGCTGGTGGTGCATGAGCAGCCTCACGATAAGAAGAAGCCCTACAAGTGCTCGGAGTGTGGGAAGAGCTTCAGGCAGAGCAATCACCTGCTCCGCCACCAGATGATCCACACTGGGGAATGGCCCTACAAGTGTGGGGAATGTGGGAAAGGTTTCAGCTGCAGCTCCGATCTTGTCATCCACTGGCGCATCCACACTGGGGAGAGGCCCTACAAGTGTCCTGAGTGTCAGAAGAGGTTTCACACCAACTCCACTCTCCTCAAGCACCCGCACATTCACACAGAGGAGAGGCCGTTCCGCTGCCCCAACTGCAGGAAGGGCTTCAAGCACAACTCTGCCCTCATCATCCACCGGCGCATCCACACCGGGGAGAGGCCCTACGAGTGTCCCCAGTGTGGGAAGAGTTTTCAGAGCCACTCCAATCTCCTCATGCATCAGAGGGTTCACACAGAGGAGAGGCCGTTCCGCTGCCCTGACTGCGGGAAGGGCTTCAAGCAAAACTCTCACCTCGTCACCCACCGGCGCACTCACACTGGGGAGAGGCCCTGCGAGTGTCCCCAGTGTGGGAAGAGCTTCTCCAAGAGCTCTCACTTGGCCGAACACAAACGGAGGCACCAGTAAGGGAAGCCCTGCAAATGCCCCGACTGCAGGAAAAGCTTTGTGCACTGCTCCAGCTTCATCCCTCATTGGAGGATCCACATTGGGCAGAGCCCTGGTGATCCATGTTCTGTGTGATCCATGCTGGGAAGACACCTGTCCCTTTTCCTTCTCCAGCAAAAGACATCATGTGGGATTGAAGGGCATGAGGGTTTGCTCATGGCCATGTTATTACATTCACTCCCACATCAGGTCATTGCCAAGGAAAGGGATTCTCCCACTCTCTCTGAGGAGAAGGGTGTCCTTTTAAGGCAGGAGGAAGTAGGTGGCTGGGAAGAGATACTTGGTGGTGTTGTAGTTTTCCCTGTAAATAATTTTTCGTATCCTTTCGGTGTTCAATATTTTTGCTGTTTCTCTTTTCTGGTTGCTGTTCCCATTAAATTGTTCTTATCCCAGCCTGGGATCTTTGCCTTTTGTGCTTTCTATGGGAGGCAGGAGGGTAGTGAACGGCAGTGCGGTTTAACGGCAGCAGCAGGAAATTGAGGAATCCCATTCCTAATCCCTGGCCCATGGAGACCGAGCATCCCAGCTGGTCCCATCCCTGGCTGCCATGGCAACAGCCTAAGGAGCCAGTCCCTGGCTGGGGCTGTGGGAACCTCTTCCCTCTGGTGCCCAGGGACAGGACTGGAGGGAACGGCCGCAGCTGAGTCAGGGCAGGCTTAGGTTGGATCTCAGGAAAAGGTTTTTCCCCAGAGTCTGTCCTTCAGTGGGACCCATTAACCCGTGCAAGGAACCTTCTCTGTTGCAATCTGACTTTGAATTGTTGACAGGTTTGTGAGCACACTCTGAGGCACTGAGGAGTCTGATGCAAACAGCCCCAAAGCCCCAGAGGGTCATTAAAGTCCTTGTGCTCATTGTGTGCTGCTGAGCTGGGCCGAGCTCCTGGCCCAGAGGCAGCTCCTGGCAGGGGCAGTGCTGCAGAGAGACAGCTCTGGCCAGGAGCAGCTCCTGGGCACAGCCCAGCAGGGCTGGGGCACTGCCAGGGCAGCTCAGGGACACGAGCAGGGCACAGGCAGAGCTCACAGGGGCTCAGCACTGGCAGGGGCTGTGGCATGTCCCAGAGGGGGCTGTGTCACAGCAGCACCTCTGGGGCTGTGTCACAGAGGCACAGAGCAGCTGTGATGGCAGAAAGGGGCTGTGTGACAGCACAGATGTGTTGTGTGATGGCACAGATTGGGCTATGACATCACAGTGTTTGCTGTGTGAGGTCATCGAGCAGCTACAGCATCATAGAGGGGACTGTGTGACCTCACAGAGCAGGCTGTGACATCATGGCATGGATGTATGACATCATAGAGTGGGCTGTGAGGTCACAGTGTGTGCTGTGACATTACAGAGTGGCAGTATGAGATCACAGAGCAGGTGTTGTGACATCACTGTAAGGGTTGTGACATCACAGATCTGGCTGTGACATCATAGAGTAGGGTGTAAGGCCATAGACTCTACCATCATAGAGGGTGGTGTCCTGGGTTGACAGGGAAGTGAGTTTTGATATCATGTGCCCGCAGCACATCCAAGAAGACATGGAATAGAAGGAACTGGGCAGGTGTTGTGAAAGTCAGAGCAAGTGAAGGATGTCAGAAGAGGATGAGGAAGAATCCTAGGTGGGAGGAGATGATGGAGTGGCCTTTTCCTGCATAGCCACAGACAGAACTAATTTCCTGTAACAGACTGCATTTAGGGGGATGCAATGACTTGAGCCATGAGAGTGACCTGTTGGCAGTGATGCCAAGTGCAGGAGTGGAGGGAAGAGAGGAAGATGAGGAGGGTGTGGTGGTGGTCTCTGTCTTCAGGGAAAGTCTCTGTTCTCAAGACCCTTGGCCCCAGGGCAAGTGAAAATACGGGGGGGGGGGGGGGGGGGGGAGGGGACTGCTTTTCTCAGATGAGAGATGATTATTCTTTGGTACTTGGCAAAGCATCCTTAAAAGGGAACCCTATAAGCAGTTTTGCTCCATGAAAGGTGGTGAGAGCACTGTATCATGGAAGGAGGATGTTACGATGGCAGATTTTCTCCGGGTGGTGCCATGTGTGACATGGAAATACAAGAGGTTTGAACTGTGTTTCCTGAGGCAGACTATGGTCCAAGAGAGACTCCTCTCTCCCTTGATGAACTGAGAATTGATTATCTGAGGGATGGTAACTTGATAGAGGATCCAAGGTTTTGTCTCACTATGTTTTGGTAGAAATTGGGTGGGGGGAGGATGTCGGAACCCAGGACATTCCTCTGGCTGCCCTGGATTGCTCGAGACCCTGGCAGGGGGCTCAGAGACCTTGGGACGGGGTCAAAGACACCCGTGCCTTCGATTTTAACCCATGGAGAAAATTACCAGCTTTGTGTGAGGATTTACAAGCCACGAGAGTTTAAGTAGAATGATAGTTAATTTGTCACAGGGTGAAAAGTAGAATTTTGGTGTTTTAGAATGGGGCTTCAGGAGACAAGATGGAGGGATTGGGGCGTGTCCTTTCCTTCCTCCTCTTTCTTCTTAGCCTCCATCTTCCGCTGTGATAGTGGCACTTTTGGATTGGTTTAGAGTAGAGACAGACTGTCTAACATAGGTGATAGGTATTGGAAAATTATTGTAAATCACGTACAAGTAGTTCTTAGTATAAAATGATAACACCACCCCAAGGGCAGGCAGTGTGCTATGAACCAACTTGCCAGACAGACCTCTGCAGGTCAAAAAAAGAATGTTATAGATAAGGAGAAATAAACAACCTTGAAAAGCAGAACCGACGCATCTTGGCTTCTTCTTTGGTCCTGAGGCTGGGAAAAAAAAGAGACTTTCTAACACCTCGGGTTCATCTCAACCCAAGAGTCAAAAGGAGGAATGTTTCAGAAGGTTTTCCTTCTGAATTCTGTGTGTTCCTTTTTTTATAGTTGTAGGTTAATAAAGGGTTTTTTTCTTTATTTCTAATCTGGAGCCTGCTCTGCTCTGTTTCTGGTCGCATCTCACAGCACTTATTTGAGAAAATATATTTTCATGGGTGCACTGGCATTGCGCCAGGGTCAAAGCATGACAGGTGGCTCTGTGACATCAGAGTGTGGGTTATGACATCATTGGGTGTCTGAGTAACGTCAGAGAGCAGGCTGTGACATCACAGAACAGACAGTGACATCACAGGGTGACTTCAGACATCACAGAGTCTCCTGTGACATCACAGCTCAGCTGTACGACATCAGAGAGTGATATGCCAGCGTGTGCATTGTGACACCACAAGGGGGCTTTGTGACATCCCAGAGTGGGCACTGTGACATCACAGGAGGCTGTGTGACATCACAGGGGCTGTGTGACATCACAGGGGCTGTGTGAGGTCACTGGGGAGGTCACTCCTCACTGGCCCCCCCAGAGCAGTCCAACGCTGCTCGTGCACAGCAGGGTCCCCTGTCCCCCCGGGACCCCCCAGCCCCAGCGCTGCAGCTTCCCCGAGAGGATGTTCCACGAGATTGACCCCAGAGCCTGACACGGGGATGGGGGGACAGGGACCCCCAGCAGCATCCTCATGTCCCCCACGGCCAGAGCTTGGGCCAGGGCTCCTTCACCCTGCTGTGAACCAGGCCTTGAGAACGCTGAAAAAATCCCCGGCAAGGGATCAGCAAAAAGCAGATTTAATATTAAGCGACAGCACCACAAAGTTCCTTGGCAAGAGACACTCTGCTCCTGACTGGACACTTCAGGCACAGCAAGGAAACAAAGCAACAACAAAACGAAACAAAATCTAATCCAACCAGAAATCAGCCGACAACTGTCCCTGTGTGTGTGTGTGTGTGTGCGCCTCAAGGACAGTGAAGGCAAGGATAAAATGATTACAGCCTAAAAGCCAGACAGAGCTCAAACTTAACAAGACTTGACTGATACCTTCAACTTCACAATTTAGGAAAAGAACAGCACTTAACTGTATTTAAGCGTAATTATAACCTATGATCTAATAATATAACAGTGGAATAACACTTAACAATATTCAACTTAGCTTATAACATACATTAATCTTAACCATTTAGGAAAAGAACAACTCTTAGCAGAATTTAACTTAGCTTACAACTTGTGACTTAACCTTACTTACCCTTGTGACACGAAGGGACCATTGTGACGCTGTGGAGCCTTGTGACACCAAGGGACCACTGTGACACTGAGGGGCCTCATGGAATCATAGAGACCATTGTGGCACTGCGAGGCCCCATGGAAGAAGCAGAGCATTGTGACACTGTGGGGCCTCATGAAACCAAGAGGCCTTTGTGACACTGCAGGGATGCATGGAACCAAGGGGCCATTGTGACACTGTGGAACCCCTTTGAACCAAGGGTTCATTGTGACACTGCGAGACCCCATGGGACCAAAGCTCCAGGGTGACACAGAGGGGCTGCCTGTCATCATGGTTTATTGTGACACTGTGGAGCCAAAGGAGACCATTGTGACAGCGCAAAGCCCCATGGTCCAAAGGTCCATTGTGACATTGCAGGCCTCACGGAACAGAGGAGTCAAGTGACATCGTGGGGCCTGTGGAACCATGGAGACCATTGTGACACTGCAAGGCCTCATGGAGTCGTTGAGACCATTGTGACACTTCAGGGCCCAATAAAGCCAAGGGAACACGGAACACGTCTGGCTGGTTTGGCCTCCCGTGGGCCACCTGACTGGTCCAGCTGACCATGGCATGATAAGGGTTTCTTCTCATCTGAAACACCGGGGCTCCGTGCTTTCCTTCCTATGGAAAAGAACTGTCCTCTGCCAGGTGCCCATGGCCAAATTTGGGTTCCACCTCCAACATTGCCTATTGTGACAGACTGCAGGAGACTGTTGGCTCCAAGTATTTCATGTGTCGGGGAGAAAGAGTCAGGTCCAACCTTGCCCTGCCCTGTGACCCCAGCACTGCCCTGCCCTGGAACCCCAATCCCCCCAGAGCCTCTATCCCAGCCCAGCAGTGTCTGCCAGTCCCTGGCACACCACAGGCAATGCTCCACAGCC